GTGTGTGTGGGGGGGGGGGTATAACTTTGCCTGGCTGCCCCAGGTTCCCGATTCAATCCATTGTCTATAAAAAGGCTGTTGGCTGGATCCCACCGGCTATCACGCAGTTCAGGAAGTCAGGTTTGGCCTGAGTCACAGGACGGACATCTGGTGTCTAGACCTGGCTTCACCACCAACTTATAACCATGTTGAGGACAAGTCTTGTAACTTAAAGCATCATCTGCCTCACTTGAAGCTGGCAAGATCCTGCTCATTCTTCAAAACCCAGCATAATTGTTCCATCTCTGACTCCTTACCCAGGTCTCTTATTCAGTAAACATTTATACCAGCTCCATACTAGAAGCTGGGCATAGAGGCAAGAATACAACACATTCCCTGCCATTGAAGAGCTTACATCTGGCATCAGAAGCAATTACCAGGAGATGGATATGAAAGTGGTGGGCCCTCTGTTGAAATGGCTCCAGGGTGTAGCATAGAACTTGTGTTCCATTTACATCTTTGCCTCTCCGCTAAACCAGATGGAACCTCTCAATGTGGGGTCCGTGGGTATCTGCTGAAAAATATATACATTTTGTGCATTTTTTTGGTGTGGAGGGGAGACACCATAGCATGCTTCAGATATCAGAGGGGTCCTTGATCAGAAAAAGGATCCGTGATCTGTGCACTTAGGAAATCTCTTCCTGCAGGTGTTTGATAGCAGATAGTCTTGCTTAGCAGGTGCTTGTTGAGTGCCACCTGCAGGATGAACCTGGAGAAAGGAAAGTGTACAGGAAGGGCTTTGAAAAGTTAAATGCTAGGAACCTCTGAGTGTTCATTTGCCTCGAAATACCGCATTCCTTCCTAAACTCTGGAAAGATTCCAGTTCCTTTCTGAAAGAAGGACCATCATCCCTGCCCTTCTTTCAGTCTGGCCCTGACCACTGTGGTCTCTGTCTCCAGGTCCGGACACTGTTCGTCAGTGGCCTTCCTGTGGACATTAAACCCAGAGAACTTTACCTGCTCTTCAGGCCGTTCAAGGTGAGTCTGGGCCCAGCCACCCACGGGCAGAGCCTAGGATGAAGGTGAAGCATCAGAAATGAATCTCTGACCTGGGCTGGGCAGCAGGAAGACGTAGGACAGTGTATCAGAAACTGTGATCACAGCCCTGGCGCGCTCTCTGGTTCTGTTCATTCACATGTTGCTTTCTGTTGATCGCTTAGCCCTTCTGAGCCTCTTTCCTCATCTGTAAAGTGGGGACATGGAGAATCTCTGTAGATTTTGCTGTCTGAGTAATCTTTGAGATTCAGTGTAGCCTTTTCAATTTGTAGATGAGAGAACTTAAAAAGGTAAGTGTGCATCTGGATCACAAGCTAGTGGAACAAATGGGAATTTACGTGTGAAATGATGGCTACTATTTCTGGTGCTCCTCCATGTGATACAGAATGCAGGACAGAGGGGTGCCCAACAGTGGTAGAGGGCGGAGTGGGCTGACTTTGGGGGGAGAAGAGTATGAGGATGATACAGGAGAGCAGTGGGGAGAAAAGATGGGGCAGGAGTGGCTGGTACAGCACAGCAGTGGCTCTCACCTTCCGTGTTAATGACTGCCTCTCTCTGCAGGGGTACGAAGGGTCCCTAATCAAGCTCACGTCAAGACAGGTAATTTCTCTCCAAGGTTTTTCTACCTCCTAGCCCATCCCAACCCCTGAGCTTGGAATGAAGTCTGTTGCCTTTTCCTCAATCTTTTTTTTTTCCCCCAAGTGTATCTTTATTGGTGAAAGTATTATAGATGTCCTCCCCCCCCTCCCCCTTATTTTTCCCCATTGACTTTTTCTACCTCGGCCTTTTTCTCTATCCTGAGGCATTTTTGGTAGCTGAGACCTGCTGTCTGTATCCCGTTTCTTTCCTGGGCTGACAAAACAGTGGCCTCCACAGGTCCCTTCTTACCAGTCAGCTCCTGGTCCTCCATTTCTCTTGACTCTTGAGAAGCCACAGCCTTGCCCTGAGGCTGAGGACCATAGAAGTGGTGGCTGTGCTGGGGGCCATATGAGGTCTGGACTGAACCTTGGCAAAATGAAGTTGGAGAAGTTCAGTCTGTTTCCCCTTGATCGAATCTGAAACCTCCCCATGCACTTGATATATTAGAGTCCCCTTCCTAGAATATCACTGGAACTTACTCTTAATTACCTGCATGCATAAAAAAAGGACTTTTACTGGAAGGGTGGGATAAAGCTCTGTTGGCATCATTTCCCACAATGTGGTACCTGGGTGGGAGTCTTGGTGCATAAGAATCTTCTACTTTTCCAGCTGAACATAGGAGGGAAACAGGCAAGAGTTGCTTTTTGTTATTTTGAGGTTTTTTTGTTGTAGTTGTTTTGTTTTGTTTTTGCGGGGGAGATGGAATGCTGGGAGAGATGCAAGGGTGTTCTCTTTTTTTCCTACTAGCCTGTTGGTTTTGTGATCTTTGACAGCCGGGCAGGAGCAGAAGCAGCCAAGAATGCACTGAACGTGAGTAGATGGAGAACAGGTCTTTCTCTGACCCCCAGGCCCCCAGGCAAAGTGGGGGCCTTGTTCTGTCTTCTGCAAACCTTCCCCCACTTCTTGCCCAAGAAAGGGGCCCACAGATGTACCTTATTCACCAGCCACCCTGGGGCAGAGTCCTGGGCTGTGCTGTCTTCGCCCCATGTGTGCAAGTCTTTTGGGCAAGGTCCTTTTGGGGCCCTTCTTTACCCACTGCAGTGGACCAGGCTGGTTCTACAGAGTAAAGTCTTTCCATCCTTTCCTTCCGGTATAGGGTATTCGCTTTGATCCCGAGAACCCGCAGACCCTGAGGCTAGAGTTTGCCAAAGCCAACACCAAGATGGCCAAGAACAAGCTAATGGCTACACCAAACCCCACCAGCGCTCACCCCGCCCTAGGAGCACACTTCATTGCACGGGACCCCTGTGAGTGGCGCTCAGAGCTGCAGTCTGCTGCCCTTGCACTTGGCCTGAGCTGGGGCCCCCCGTTTTGTGGCAGACATTGAGATTCTCATTGGGGGACTAGTCCGCCTGCACGCCCCCTTTTGCAGGAGGCTGCTTGCATCCACGGTTTCATGCTTCCGTCCTGCCCTGCAGCCTTTGTTGGACCTCAGACAGACCGAGCCCGTGAGCCATCAGACTTGCCCAACTTCCCAGAGCCGTCTCTGATTTCTCTTGGTTGAGATGGGCGGAGGCCCATCTGAGAGCTTCTCAAAGCTGAAAACATGCTCACCGTGCGAGGCCAAGCTAATGGCTTCTTTCCCTGGTCTTGAGGAGAGCCTGGCTTGAGTGGGGAGCTTATACTTCAGCCATAGTGCTGGGTCCCCTCCTCTCTTTGGAATGGGGTGGCAGGAAGGGAGAACAGTGTTCTGACGATGGGGGCTATTGTCTCCTCTGTAGATGACCTGATGGGGACTGCTCTGATCCCCACATCCCCAGAGGCCTGGGCCCCCTACCCTCTGTACACCACAGAGCTGACCCCAGCTATCTCACACGCTGCCTTCACCTACCCAGCTGCCACTGCTGCTGCCGCCGCCGCCCTGCATGCTCAGGTAAGCTCTCCTTCGGGGGGAGAAGCAGGAAGGGGGAGAGGGAACGCTCTAGGTGGCCAGGCTTTGTACCTCCCTGGCCTCTGGACCCCGCATGTCTCCGGAGCTCAGCAGAACTGCTGTCTCCCATGACATGCCTTTAGAATTTGGGCTCTGACAGAGAGGAGGGGGAGGACAAGCTGTGAGGCCACACTGAGGATTCGAGGCAGAGTCCAGAGAGACCCAGCCATGGTTCCACCACCTCCTGACCACCCACGGCCCCGCACCGCACTCCCTGCGGCGACAGAATCACTAATCAGATCCCAGCCCAAGTGTGGTTTCGCGAGCCTGCTGCCTCCCTCTGCCGCCTCCTGTCTTTACAAACTTGAGAAAGCTCTTAAAGAGTGCTGTGCCTTGATTTTTTTTTTTTTTTTTTTT